TCCGATTTTTGACCACGGTGTGAATTACGTCCGAGTGCAGAGAATCCGACTTTCAAACGCGCATGTCATTAACGGAAGCCGGATTATCTCATCGTAATGTTTTCATGTGTGGCGGCAACATCAAAGAGAACGGCTTAACACCAATTAATCGTTATTACTGTAACAACTAGTATGGCTTCACTTCGAAGGCCTGCCATGTCTCTGTGGCGCAATCGGTTAGCGCGTTCGGCTGTTAACCGAAAGGTTGGTGGTTCAATAAATAATTGAAATCCCCTATCTATTTTATCCTCAGTTCTTTTGGAGGTTAATTGTTAAAAACAAAAATTTAAATACCTTTTTTTTAAATTGTGATTTGGGAGTGGGGGATTTTGTTATTATTAAACACAATTTTATTAGTATTGGAATGAACTTTGTTTATTAATATTCCAAATGTCTCAGTGCCTGTTTGGGGGAGGGGGGTAAATTTAAATAGCTATTTTTTATTTTATGACCGAAAGGGGGGGGGGTATTTTTTCATGGTATAACACAATTTTATACGTATTGTAATTATCTTTGTTTATTAGCCTTCGAGATGTCTGTTTAGTATTGATTTGGCATTAATTTAATTTTTCATATCATTTATTGAATAAATAATAATTTAACAAACAAAATTATGTTTATGTCATTCATCAAAAATTATAGTTTAAACAGAACAAACCTAGGGGGTTGCATGGGAAAGTTTGCTATACTGGATATAAACCGGAAATGAAATGAAATTGGGTTTAACGTCCTACTGTTCTGGGCTAATGAAGACGGGCATACTCCATACAGTGTGCGATGAGGGAAATTATATCGAATTCCAACTGCCAAGGGATCTTTTCTTGCACGCCAGTGTGTACACGGGACCTCGGTTTTCGTCCCATCTGAACAACTAGACAGCTGTCCTTGTCAAGGGAAACCACGCCGGAAAATCTGGATGAATTTTCTCGGCCAATGCAGGGATCGAACACCCGACCCCCAGGCTAGCGAACCAGCGTCTTACCCACTTAGCCACGTGATCCCCCGATATAAATCGCTAAAATATAATACAAGTTTTATTTGGGGGAGGTTATACACAAGTTTGTATGAAGCAATACAAGTTGAAATTAACACAAGTTTGTGTTGAAATTAACACAAGTCTGTGTTGATTCAACACAAGTTTGTGCCGTTAAAAAGAGACACCTAACTTGTGTTGAAATTTTTTTCAGTGTAGAAATTTAATATCAAACGCCAGTTTTAAAATCACAATCGCATCCCATGTTGTGCCACAGATTGAAATTATGCACGTGGAAAACTACCTATAAAAGTAAATGCTCATTTTCAAAATGAATTCGATACAAACCCACGATTTGCTTCAATTAGACGTTGCTCCGGTTGGAAGACCAATCATATTTAAAATTCTATTCGAAAAAAATTCAGACGGAAGACGGAAATACCAATATGCTATCTCGGACCAATCTGATGCCATACAACTATATTATTCAGAGAAACTGCCAGTAAATAAAACTTATGTTTTAAGTAACTATATGCTAAACTATATGCTAAAATAATCCCAAAGAACCAACATAAAGTATTTAATTACAGGTAAGAAATTGATTAAATATCCATCTTAACCAATTCAGGTCCTTTACAAAAATATATTCGTGCATAGTAAATATGCAGTTAAATTTATCGATGATCAATTATCTACTTAGAAGCACAATTTACTGCTATAGCAAAAATGCATTTATTTGAAAACGCTCCTTCAAATTCCAATAACGACAATACGTTGTCACTTGCCAGACTGTCCTACATCAAGGATCCGTTCTTAGTCCGATTTTATTTACCCTTTTTACGTCACCATTAGGTTATATTGTCAGAAAATATAGCCAAGCACATTTTCCGGCACCTATGTTCACTCGATGCAACCAAACGATATCGTTCTCTCCAACAACCCTTTTCGACATGGTTTCCATCTTGTCGATAGTACCGGACGGAGGGCTTGAAAAGGACAAGTCTACTTATTCGGATGGGAGGAAAAACTGTGGTCCGCTGTATACATTGTCGTGCACTTAAATGATCCATTGGCAGTTGGAATTCGATAGGACCCATTGGCAGTTGGAATTCGATATAAGAGGTCATAGTGCCGCTGCCCGGGTAAAAGTTTTGCTAATAGCACACTGTATGATGTATGTCCATCTTCACTAGCCCAGTCGGAGCAGAACAGTAGGACGTTTAACGTCATATCATTTCTCTATATCACCCAACCCCCAACAAAGTATGAAAATCTGCGCAACGTTAAACTAAATTTCTAAGACAGACAACTTTGATTAAATTTGACAAATATATTTTAATTGTCCCCCCGAAGCACACTTTATGGCGCATACCCGTCTTCATTAGTCATTATTTCAATTTACTACTTTGAAACTTCATAATACTAACATGAAATTATAGTAAACAATAATAGAACGTGGCTCTGTTTAGCTTCCGTACCTTCTGTCTACTCATCCTTTTTTCTTTAAATTTGCTGAAAATATTACATTTGTACATTTGTTATTATGATCACATACCAGAACCACTAAACAAACCATGCATATAAAAAAAATCAGAGTGCAAGACAACTCCACATCAGCCGATGTGGTGATATGGAAACCGAAAGACGAGTGGCTGAATCTTTGCCAGGCGGGAAGATTCATCATGTTCACCAATATGGCTAACAATAGACACCAAGGAAATCTGCAGTTTAGGTCGCCAACAAATACACAATTGGAAGTATGTATAATTCAATCGTCTATAGTCAACATGTTAAGTCCGCTCGCTAGCCTGGAAGTCGGGTGTTCGGTCCCTGCATTGGCCGAGAAAGTTCATCCAGATTTTCCGGCGTGGTTTCCCCTTGCCAGTGATGCAGGATGGAGGGCTTGACAAGGACAGCTGTCTAGTCGTTCGGATGGGACGTGAACTCGAGGTCCCGTGTACGTAAAAGATCCCTTGGCAGTTGGAATTCGATATAAGAGTAGGCCGTAGCGCCCTTTGCCCGGGCCAAATTTCCCTCATAGCACACTGTATGGCGTATGCCCGTCTTCATTAGCCCAGTTTAGGAGCAGAACAGTAGGACGTTAAACTTCATTTCATTTCTAAATTCGGGAATATATTAACTTGATTAATAATCTAAACGTTATAAGTATATTATTTTTGTACTTAAATCAACTTAAAATAGATATGATGTACCATTATTCAGATAATTATTTCACATATGGATTAGAGCAACGTGGCAATCGTTTATTATACATACAAGATAGCCCCCTTCTTCCGCTGTTAAAGACCCCTCCGCCCCACCAAATTACTGAATTAAAATTAAAGCACGTGTAAGTCCCGAAATGACATGGTTTCTGTTTAATGGACACTGTCATCTCCCTTCTTTCATTAGAAAGCATCTGTTAGGTGTGGTTTCGGGCAAAATATTACGCAAAAATTTTCATACACCCATAGGCGTACGGGCTCGCTGACAATTAGTGGGACAGAACCCGAAATGCCCGAAAAAAATTCGGGTTACAGACGGCGGCGGTTGAAAAATTTCGCACAAAGTAGAGTGCCCCTTGGCTCGTTCGCCAATGCATACACTAGTCAGTTGATGCACACTTCTTTTAAAACCCAAAATGATAAATAATATATTTTCTTCTTTATTCAGATAACACAAGCACCACTAATGACAATTGTTGGCGATGTCGTCGCCTATGACACGGACGACGATATCGTCTCCATATACACCGGTCAAGACCTGAAAGAATTTGTCATAAAAAAAGAAAAACATAAACGAATTTATCACCAAAAACATCCGCGTTACCGCGGAGATAAAAGATAATGAAATTATCACTATCAAAGGTAAGTTCCCCAAAACTTCTATTGTTCTTATAGATTTTACAAATGACGGATACGGATAGGACTGTCTTCTGTCTCGTATATCCATGAGTGATAAGCAACGTACAAAAATTTTATATTTGCTAAGCCGATACATTTGCTTGCTGGATCAAAGCGTTTGGTGAATCCTCTTCAGCCGATATGTAGGTGAGACTATTATAATTTATATATAACTGGCACGTTTCTAACCAGAAAAGTATAAAAAAAAATTCAGGCACCTTTTCTAACGATTTTTCTGAGAACCCACGGCAAAGTTGTTACGTTACATTTAAACATTTTGTAACATTCTTATTACTGTTTCATAGGCTTGCCCAATATTATCCGTGGCATAGTTTTAATTTCTAACCGTCATCATTATAGGCAAAGATCTACAGAAATGGAAATGAACTCTAAATTTACTTAAATTCAAAGTGTTGTCTGTGCGAATTGTGTATCTTAATTGCGTGCTTGTCTATTTTATTCACAATCGGCAACAAATTATAAATGACTTTTAATAACGCAATATATATTGTTTTTCAGAAGCCTGATGACAAAAAAAAAATAAAACTCTTTTACATGACTTGTACTTGGTATTTTATTATAATGCTACTCCTGGAAGTGGGGAAGGGGTGGTAATGGCAGGCGTATTGTCTGCGGTGGGGAGGGTGGAGATGGGACCTCCCCAGATAACGTACATGCACTTCCTAATCGAACTACAGCTTCAAACAGGAGGCCTGCAGGTTAGCCAGGCAGCGTCTTACTAAGCCATGAGAAGCTTTATCAACTTAAGAAAATGAAATGAAATGGGGTTTAACGTCCTACTGTTCTGCTCCTAAACTAGGCTAAAGACGGCCATAAGCCGTACAGTGTGCTATGAGCGAAAGTTTGCCCGGACAGCGGCACTGTCGCCTACTCTTATATCGAATTCCAACTGCCAAGGGATCTTTTACGTGCATTCTAATGTATACACGGGACCTCGGTTTTTCGTCTCATTCGAAGGACTATACAGCTGTCCTTGTCAAGCCCTCCGTCCTGCATCACTGACAAGGGAGAACCACGCCGGAAAACTCGATGAACTTGATCCCGTATCAACTTAAGAGTCACGT